GTAGTAGTGACCCCCAGAAACGAATATCGTCGTTCAAGTAGTAAGGGATTGATGACGACGCGAGCAATGCTGTGAGCACGCACACAAGCAGTACTCGACGGGATCCATGTTCGTGAGTCGTGGTAAATAACCTCTCACCGACAACAACAGTCACTATTTGTACTGTAGCCGCCCAACCATGCAAGGGGACGTTCAGAGTCGAATGGTACATATGCATACATGTTTTTTTTTCTCCATCGTGAACTCTGTCCTCTGCCCCTCTGGCCGCGATCCTCCACTTCTACTAGCGGCCTGGTCCCTCGCTCTCTTCCATCTTGTTTCTATTTCCTTTGGCCATTTCTTGCGGTCCTTCATTTGTACTAATTTACTATATCTTTTTTCCCTCCTTTCGGACAACCCCGAAAGGGATATAGGAAAAAGATGACCCCCTTCTTACGGTGCTGGTTGATCCTTTTTCACCGACCAAAAAGAAAAGAGACTGCAACGGCTGTTGTCACACTTGCATGCACCTTCCCACCGAAATGGTTTTTCAGTCGTATCTCCTCACAGAGTGAAGAAGCACCTACTGTTAAGCTTCCCCTCGCGAGCTGTGTGTATGGTCCGTCGTGGGTGGCGGCTGACAGAGACCACAGGGCGATAGGAGGCACGACCGTGGTGTTGGAGGTGCCGAGAGTCGACAGCACGCTGAAAAAATGTCCACCGAGCCAGCAACCATTTTTTTGCTCTTTCGCCCCTGTCGACATTTAGGTTTACCGATACTCCCTCGCCACCCACTGAAGCCCCAGCGATGACAAAGGTATCCGCCACGAGCTCTGCGTATGGTCCGTCTTGTGTGGTGGCTGATACAGACCAGAATGCTATAGGGCGCCCAGGATTTGTGAGCGCGAGAGTAGTGGACAAGGGGAAATAAGATCCGCTGCATCTTCACGCAGCTTTTTTCGCTCTTTTGCCCGTGTCGCAACTTTGGTTTGCCAGAACTCCCTCGCCACCCACTCGAGCAAAAGCGATCACAAAGGCATGCGCAACCAGCTGTGCGTATGGTTCGTCTTGTGTGATGGTTGATACAGACCACAAGGCTATAGGACGCCCAGAAGTGGGGTTCGCAAGGTTGACAGGACACGAAGAATGACCCACCGCTGCTGCGTCCAGGCTCTGTCGGCTTGTTTGCCGCTTATTATTTGCCGCACACATCGGGTTGTCCACCTGAGCCAGCCCCCACTGAAAAAATAATGGCTACCGCCGGTGCTACCGACTCTGTACCGGCCACATGACACAACTCGTGTGACCACCGTTTGAGTTTGCGGGAATCAGCCATCGAGAGATTCAAGTTTGAAGGTATGATGTGGTTGTGACCCAAAAAAGACAACCTTGTTCGACAGCCCCCAAGTTTTATCCAAAACTACCCAGAAAGAAGACAGAAAGGGCTGTCCAAAACGGGTTGTCTTTTTCTGGCCATCTTCCTGGGGGGAAAACATACATCGCAAGAAGACCTTCAAGGCCAGTTGCCTTTTTCGAGAAGGAAGCAAGAAAAAGAATATGGGAAAAGAGAACCGCAAGAAATGGCCCTACTGTTCCCTTTTTATTATATCTTCACATATATAACACAACGAATCCATCTCCATCCAAGGAAAGAGTCCAAGACATTTTTTTTTCCTTCCTCTCTGTTTTCTCTTTTTCTCTCTTTTCTTTCTTTTTCAGTGCCAGATGGCCTTGTCTCTGCTTGCGTTGTGACGTACCATGTTTGAATCATGAGGGTGTACCTCTTTCTTTCCGGCCCGTGATGGTGACTCCTAGTCTCAGTTGTTACCTCGCATAGCGCGCAGAGGGAGTGGAGGACTCCAAAATATCTGTCGTTGATTTCTTTTGACTTGCGGACCCTCGGGGCAGTTTTTTTGGGTGTACCGTTTTGAGACTGAGGGAATCGACCGCGTCGAGTGTTGGATCACTACGGACATACGAAGTTACAGGGTAGAGAGAGATCGGAACGGTTTGTAATGTGAAGAGAACAACAACAACAACAAGTAGCTAGACGACCCAACCAGGGTCACATAGGAGGGGTGGGTTGGACCCCCTCCTGCGGTTCATGCCTCATGAGAGCTACGGAATATCGGATCGACTGGGAGATTGGAAATGTGAATGTATGCTTGTAGAGTACAGCAACACCAGTGCAGTCTAGTCCCTTCTTCGACGATGGGCAGAAGACGTGTGCATATATAGTTGTGAAAACAGGACGGTGCACTGCACATGGACAGGAGCGTTATGAACACAGATAGGGTGCATTGACAGCATGTCACGAGAATAAAATATCGTAGCATGATGGGCTCACATGTGCAAACCGGTTTCTAGATATCTTACGCCAAGCTACAGCAATAACTCCTCACATGCGGTGGACCGGGTACTGATAACAAAACGATACCTCCAACCAACTACCCCCAGCCAACGTTGGTGGCGACTTGTTGACGAAAAAGGGTAGTCCAGTATGCACAACGAAATTACCCGAGCGCCAGCACCGTGTGCCTAGGGTCTGCAGACAGCGCTGCCCTGTGACAAGGGGAACAACTCGCCAGGCGCTCGGGAAACAGATAACGAGTCGAACGGAAAAATAACAGTCACTTCCGTAGCCACTTCTGTCTGGAGCAAGCGGCCAAGCAGAGTGCGTCGAGCGCTGGCCGCATCTGCCTTTCTATGAGTGAGCCTCCCTTTCTCTACCTCTGCACACACAAAGGGAATGCACCTCTCTGCCTGCCTTTGTGTGGAGACTCGCGTGTTACGGGCCCGTGCCACGTTGATCCTCTCGATCTCTCGATGCCACGTCTGCCGGGTTTTTTCATACTTAAACCAACAACGGTTCTTTTAGGTATCAAAAAATTTGTGTCTCCGCATCTTTTTTTTCTAAGGGAAACCCATAGCCGACTGCGGTAGGCGAACAGCGTAGACTAATTGCCAGCCTCTCACATCGACCGGTAGAACGCGGCAGAGGGGGGAGCGCAGCAGGCGCAGGAGATTCAGCTGCAGCCACCGCATGGCGCAGAGCGCGAGAGGTATCAAGACTTTTTGTGACGCATACTGACTGCTCCGTTAACTGCTGATGTCGAACGGCATGTATATGGGGACACACTTGCATTTCAAATACATCCACGCCGTTGTTGGTGGTTGCGAAAGTGACGAAATCGCACGGCAGCGGTGGCCGAGTGAAGGGCAGACGCCGCCCCATGGAAAGGGAGCGACGAATCACAAGGGCGTTCACGATGTCGCCCGCATTTCTGCACCACTCGATCAATAGGACCCAGAGCTATCACATATGTCGGAGCAGTGGAACTACATGCCAACAGGGATGAGGTCCGAACATTTGTGTTGTTGGACGCGTGCGGTCGACAGAGCGCCGTTTCGAATCCAGGCATCTATCTCACCTTGAAAGGTCTTTCGCCCACGGCCTCCTCTCCAAGGTCTGCTTGCTTCCCGGACATGACAGGTGCTGTTGGGCTCTCTCTAGCCAGAGCATGAAATAAGAATTTGACAAGATGTGCTGTGTGGCGTTCGAAAGTGCTTGGTGGGGGGGTCCGTGGATTACTGTTTTTGAAATCGGCTTCTTTTTTTGGATCTGTTTTGAAAACGAAAAACGACGTGGGTTCGAGAAAAAGATCCATGAGACATGTGGTTTCCCCGCCGCCCACATCAAGGCGTACACAGCAGTACACAACCATCAACCTTGTCACCATACCTTTACGGAGTACACTGCGGCTCATCTGTCTCGCTAAGGTGCCGGGAAACACAGCATTTAGTTATGGTTTGTTCGGCAAATTTTACTAGACATGAAGGGCCGCACCTGATCCATATCCTTACAGGTGCACTTGGATATATACGTATCTTGGTCGGAAGAGAGTGTAACGGACAGCGTGTTGTACATTGTGCTGCAAGTAACAGCACAACGACCGAGACTGAGGCTGGCGACTGGCGACGTGCATATTGTCTATACCGTCCCTGTATCCGCACCTACACAGGCACGCCAACTTAGTAAGCCCCAAACCGTTTCCATCTCCGTGACATCACATGTCGTCTATATTCTGCACATTGTTCCCCAGCACGGGTGAGAGAGGGGTTCAGGTGGAAGGACGAGGATGGTCCTTTTCTACCCCCTCCGGTAGCAGGGCTCTAGACTAGTGAGCACGCCTTACGAGCACAGGGAGGAAAAATATTTACGTGATATTCTAGTGTTGGCGAACAGCTGTGGGGCGCACACGGCCTTGGGGGCGATGTCGATCTTTTGCTGTTCAAGGCCACGGTGTTTGGTTGCTTGTTGCACGTCGTATGGCAGCGTTGACGAAGTGGTTCAGAGCACTCACCCAAAACAAAAATGCATCAAGAGGACCTGAGCACGGTCCTATTTTTTCTCATCCCCGCAACAGCAGGAACGCCAAGAGAGCGCTCAAAAGAGACAAAATAGGAGTAGGCAACATAACGAAAGGAGGGGTCACGTAGGGTGAAGGATAGGGGGGGGGTGGGGGGGGGGTGTACTCATAGTCGTGCATGCCGTAGTCGTTAGACCATCGACCTCGCATCCCTACAAAGCCGGGACGGAGCACGCCGGCTTCTCACCGGACCAGGCTCTCACATCACCAAGCGCGAAGCGCCGTGAGATATTCGGCGAGTCGCATGAAGGGTGCGCTGCATCCTGCTAAGGTGTTCGGCATCTTGTGCTTGCTTCCTTGCATACGGATGACAGCTGCGTATGAGTTAATATACTTTCTGGTGCTTTCACTCCCAGAGACAGTTGTAAGCACTGTGTAACTGCCTCGAGGGTGCTTGACCATTTAACACAACGAGGGGGGCGAGAGGAAAGCTTGTTGTTTGACCGTCGGCTTCTGACTCGAAAGGCATGCTCCAATTCTTGAGGATTTCCCGCCCCGAGGCGTTGGTCGCGGGCAGGCCTACCAAGACCCACGAGAAACCCTTTGTACCGAACGTAAACACGTTAAAGGTTCACCCCCTCCCACGCGTTCGTCACGACCACACTCTGCTGTCGTCACCGTCTCATTGTACCCGCGGCCAAAATGTGCGGGTTTCTGTCCCAGAAATCGTCCCGAATAAGGTCGCACGCGTCCTCCTCGATGGCTCCGGGAGGCGCGTGCCCCTTCTTCAAGAGCCGCTTGGCTCTGCCCTTCCCGTCCGAGCATGAAACCACCTTTACAACAGCGTCGCCCCGTGGCGTGCCCCCCGCCTTCTCGCTGGCACCCCCCTTGCCTCTCCCGTGTGGTCCCTTATCGCTCAGCCCCTTCCCGGTTGCAGCGCCAGACGCTGCTACCCCGGCTTGCGCATCCCCGCCCTCTGTCCCCGCTTCGGGTTTTCCATCGCCCGAACGACGAGAATCGGGGATTGTCTCTACTCCGATGTTGTTCTCCACTCGGTTGTTGGTTTCTTGCGCGGCAAGCGTTGGTGCCTCTACGCCTGTCTCTCCGGCCTGCTGCCCCGCCATTGGGGTTTCCCCACCAGTGGCCGTCGCCGAAACGGGGCCACCTTCTACCGGTGGTCCACGTCCACCCTTGTCGCCGCTTCCGTCCACCGCAGCTGCGCCGTCTTGTCGCGATGGCTGCCGCGATGATTTTTCAGGAGGCGGCGGCATCGGTGGCGCCGCCACCGCTGTTGGTCGGGCACGAAACAGCGTGGTGCCCTTTCGGAAGCGCTGGGGGATTTCGTTGTAGTTGGTGTCGAACCTCGAGAAGAGGAGCTCGTTCTTGTCGCCGGAGGTGGTGCCCTTGAGGGCTACCTGGGCGTCCTGCTTGGACACCCCTGAGAGATACGGTCCGCAAAGCGGCGCAAAGCACACGGTGGATGCAGCGGCGGCATTGGATAACGACGGCAGGCTGTAATTTTGAGGGTCGATGAGAGCGAAAGCGCGCACGCGCAGCACACTCTTTCGGCGTGGACACAAACCCGCGGTTTTTTCGCGAAAATAAAAAAGGTTCAAGGTGAGTGAGCCAATCGACCAAGACTTAAACCACGAGCACGGGTGGCCTTGTTGGATTTTCCGTTTACAGCTGCACCGAGCCTACGAATATCTATCGCTCCCCGTGGCACTAAAGCATCGCCATACAGTATCCATCCCTCATGTAACAAGACACCAGTGCAAAGCAAGTTGGGCGCGACGGCGGCAGTTGCATGGTACGTGTGTCTCTTTGGCATCGCTACCAACCTTCTCACCATCGGCGACAAGTGCCCAGAAACAGGTGTTGTACAGGTTATTGATGTGGCAGTCCGCTTGCCTCCACGAAAAGTAATCCCGGACGTGCTGTGTGAATCATGGCCAATCGTAGTAGAGGAGTGTGTGTGTGTGGGGGGGGGGGGGCGTACTCTTATGTTTTGCATGTCTTAGCGGTTAGACCATTGACCACGCGTCCTCGAGAGGACGGAGCATTGTTCCCACAGGACCGATCACCGATGGCCAATCGTTCCTTTCTACTTTGCCAAAGGTGGCTCAAAAATGTCTTCCCTAGTCTGTCTATCCTAACGATATCCCTTCCCGCCTTTTCAACCCACCTCCTATGCCCCAGTACAGCTACCGTCCTTTCCTCTCTATTCCATGCCTCAAACATCTCCCTGTACGTTCCATCTATTTTTCCCAGCTCAGTCACGTACACTTCCCTCTCCTTCTTGTACAACGGACATTCCGCGACTACATGAACACGGTCTTCGCATTCGAAGCCGCAATCACATTTGAACTCGTCGTCTTCCTCGTCTACCGTCCTATGTCTTCGTCGACGTTCTCGAAGGCCTATGTCCCCGGTCCTGAATTTGACCTTAAGCTTTGTTCCTGCATCCATTGGTCCATGTAGGTAGTCCTTGAACCCTATTCCTTCCTTCAACATTCCGTACACTTCTAGACCCTCCTTATCCTTGGATGTGGGGGGGTACTGATGTTTTTGATGCCTTCGCACGGTCAGACCATTGACCACGCGTCCTCGAGAAGACGGAGCATTGTTCCCACAGGATCGATCACCGACGACCAATTGTTCCCTTCTACTTTGCAAATGTGGGCTCAGTCAAAAAGTGGGGGGTGCTGTAACATGGAGGCATGCAGAGAGAAAGCAGTCCGCAAGCGTGTCAAGAGAAGGTGAACGACGATTTAGGTTTATCCGATGAGTGAGTGGAGGAGGTCGGCTGGAGAACATCTCCGAGGCGCGTGCTCTCCGCAGCCAAGAGCGAGATGGCGAAGGAGGCCTTGTCGAACTCTGCCATGTCGTCCCCGCAAGACGCAAGCTCTTTGCTTACGGCGCGAATTATTCTGCAGCTGGTCCTCGGGTCGACGGGAAGTCAGCTCTGAGCGTTCCGCTGCTACCTCGGCGGCCCCCTTCTCCTCGTCCACGGTGGTCTTCAGGGCGTCAATGGTGTCGTCAACGACAATATCCTTCGCGCGAAGGTCGCCCTCCGCCCTTGAGGGGTTGACGGACCGTTCGTCAGCTTCCAAACGACGGAGGGCGACCTTCACGCCGAGGACTTTGTCGTTGATGACACCATCGACGCCCTTAAATCCACTGTGGACGAGCGGAAGGGGGCTGCCGAGGTCTCACCGGAACGCTCCGAGCTGGCTGAGTGTGCAGGACAAGAATCGATCGGGCACCTAGACCGTTTCACTCCTACGATTGCAACATGAATATCGTATTTTCCCTCGCCTATTCGGTGACTGCAACACGTGTACAAACACTTTATGCTCTCGCCTTATCGAGGCGACTGCAACAACTGCGCTTGCTCCTTAGGGTGTATGATCTCTACTCTCGTCTGCACGCGTCAACCGCTATTCGACTACAGCAGTACTAAACGCATGCGGCAGGAAATGGCAACCCACTTGCGGACACGCGAATACATACGGCACGCACGTCTGATGAGACTCGCACTGAGGGACGCACACACATACATACAAGTAGTGGTTGTGCCACAAAAAGACGCGAAGCATGACTACGGGGGTGCTTGCCTGGGCGGAGGGGTAAGAGATTATCCTGGCGTCGAAGTTGGGTGGGTACAGCAGGGGAGTGTCTGGGAAGTGTTTCGGCCAGAAGAAGACGAAGCTGGGCAAACAACGGGGGGAAAGAGACGCGGCAGGCGTGCAAGAGTTGTTCGGGAAACGCCGTAGACATCGGGCTGGGGCTCATGTTAAACGATTGCCACCAGGCAGAACTTGAACTGTCGTGAATGGTTGTTTCAGCTTGAAAGAAGAACGCACCATATGTGTCTTTCGACATACTGCTGTGTAAGGGAGAAATGGTGCAACACTAACAGCGGCACGGTCCAGGTACAGGTGTAGAATGAAACGACCCTTACACTCTCTCTAATTCTGCCTCAAAAGAAGAGAGTCAGACCCGGCATACCAAGATTGATGTCAATCAAAAGGCATGCTGCTCTCTGCTCTGATCAAGCTGTGCGGTGCGATACACTACACACGTCGTGGTTTTCTCGCACAAAAAGGTGCCTGTAATTATGGTAGGAGCAGCACCTGGAGGAGAAGAGAGACACAAAGGAAGTGGACAGCTTCGCCGATCGCCTCCCATACAGTGGACTCGAAGCCGGGAGAAGGAAGCTGAACTCATCGCTCTGCCCGAACGCCATCACCAAGTCCGACCACTCGCTCATTACCTGCCGCGCACACTGCACCGATACGAAAGCAACGAGTAACGGGCCAAACGTACGCAGATCAATGGCTCGCATTCTCGTCGGCTGCCCTCGTCAATCAAGCACCCTTTGCGCAATACACGACACACGCGAAAGCGTCGCGGTCATCTTCATTGGACAGCAGCTGGGCGAGAAATTGACTATCGTGTCTGAGCAGGCGTATAGCATGCAGCTGACACAATGAAACAACAGGGTGTACGACATGGAACTGTGCACGCCTACAAGTACATGTTGGGGGAGTACCATCACGGCCGACAGCTGCTGGGGATAACGACATGGTCTCCGTCTAACGATGGGTAGGCATTCTCTTCAGGTTCAAATAACGTACAAAGATATATCTCACGAGCATGACACTCTCTCTCTCTCTACAGCCATCTTCAAAGACGAGGTTGCACATGTGGCTGCGGCCCGGCTGCGGTACATACAAGTCAAGTGAGGGGAGGCGCACGTGCTCAACAAAGCAGATTGTTCCCAGTCGCTCCACTCGCCCAAACGCTTTGGCACAAGTATTTGTTTTCGTTCCTGGAAGCTTGCTGGAAGATGATAGAAATTTAAAAATCCCCTCACTTCGGTCATCAGCAGTAGCCCTCGCTCGTCGTTGGGCTTGGTAAACCCATGCTCTGCAGTGAACTTCGTGAACCTGTGTCCGTCCAGCCGGGCGACCAGGTAGGTGTCGGGCAGCAACGCGTCCGAAAGCTCAAACTTCTTGACGTACTGGAATCTGCTGTTCGCCATGGCGAGTGGCTGAAGGGACCGTGCGCTCACTGTCTGTTGCTTGCTCACGAGACAAGGCTGTTTGAAGGTGCTGCTGCGATGGGGAGCGAGCACCACGCCCAGCAAGTACCCGGCTGCCGCCCCGATCATCCGATCATGCGGTGGCGATATTGGGAGAGGCATGCCATTGGCTGGGAGGGGAAAGATGCGGCCTAACCTCTCCTTGATCGAAGGCTTTTCTCCTCCAGAAACAAAAAAAAAACTCTCTCGGCCTTTCAAGCCCCCCCTTGCTCGTTCGCCCACCCCGGTCAGTTCGCTGAGATTTCATGTCCATCTCGAAAAGGGATGTGTCCCGCGAGGTGGAGTCTGTGAGTACCCCTAGGAGAAGACACACCTAGCTCAAGTAGTTAGATGCCGCTAGGCGTAGTGCATTGTATTGACGGGAAGTCACGGACCTGATTTTGTGTGGTTGATTCTTCGGAAGTCGGCCTTCTGGGCATACCTGTATCCTCGTCGTTGTTGCGTCGTGATGACGGCGATGGTTCAACTCAGCTTTTCTGGGGGATCGGATTGGATGGCACCCCTTGTTGGGTGTTGTGTACAGTCTCGCGTAGCCAGGGGTTGGTACTCGATGCCTTGCTTCCGTTGCGATGGTCTTTGTTTACCCGGATTTGGGCGGCTGCTGCAGCTGCTGTTACCAAAGGCAACACGACGACACCACCAATGTTTCACCGCTGACCTTGCTACGTGCCTCGTCGCCCTGTTTAGGTGTTCACGGCCCTCGCGAAAGCGCGCGTCCGCAAGGACATGGACCCAGAAGTTCTGAAGTCATCTCAGGTGCGTGTGTGACCCGGGGGGTGTGGGGTTGTTGGTCGGTCTCGTGCTCTCCCTTGTGGACGTGACCAGCACTCCTGGTTCGCGGAGGAATTTTGTTGTCAGCGGCAAGGGAGACGAGGGCGAGCGAGGAGTAGCAGCAGGTCGAAGGGAATCTCGCTGGCTCCCTGCTCCCTTGTACATGATCACTTGCCATTGGGAAGGAGTGTTGACGTGATCTCGTGTAGCAGCATACCGGACTAGCGACCTGTGTCACCTGCAAGCTCGCTGTGACCATTGGTGGGTATGTTTGATCTCTCGAGTCGTGTGGTAGCTTTGAGAATTTAGAACGGTTTCAGGTTCCTAGTCCCGACACCGGTCCCACTGATGAAGTTTGTCATCTTGGTAAGAAGGCTGCTGTCACCGTATGGCTGTGGAGGTGTTCGTGAAAAGCTCCTTCGGTAGCACTTTAGAGTGCAGCCCGGAGATGAATACACACCATGCAGATCACATTGTACAAAATGCCGGCTTCCTTCCTCTTGGTGCTATCAAAAACCCCACGACTTTGCGTTCGTATCCCTATGCATACTATTTATTATGGCATGCATGCTATATGCCGCTGTTGTTGCCGTCCATCAAATCGTGAGGCATGGCTCCTCTTGAACACTCACCATTCCATAGACCAAACACGCCCTTGTTTACCAAGCTGTATGTATGCTTCCATATGTAGTCTAGCATATGCTTCTTCAACATGAACCCCACGCCGAACCAGGCAGTACGTGGTCGCTTCTCTTGCAACAGTCGCACAGACCGTTTCTTCATTTTTGTGGCACTTGTTTGCTCGGCGCACCCCAACAATCGCTCCCGTATGATTAACACCAGTATTTGGACAGAAAGCTGGAGGCTCACCTGAAATTGGACTGGTACAACGAGCAAGCGGTCAAGAGCGAGGCCCGTCGCCAGGCCAACCAGCCGGTGAGCACAACAGAAAGAAGCAGTACTCAGGCGCCGTTAGTGTGCACTAACTAGTCAGTGGAGTTTGACCCGTTTAACGAGACGCATTAAGCCCAGCAGTACGCTACCTAGCAGGATTTCTTCCTCGCTCACTGTAAAGACGTCAACACGTCCCTTCGACTGCTGTGGTATTATCTAGAACGGGTATTATTTCAGTGATCGTTGCGTATATTTTCCAAGCCGAGTCTCGGCGGGTGGAGGTTCGGTTAAGGCTCTACTTCACCTGCGAAGGTGTTGTAGTTTCGGCCAGCGGTTCCGCTGATTTTTTCCTGTGAGCACGCCAGCGCATCTCCTTGAAACAATAGTTGAGCGGGTACAGTAGTCCTTCTTTTGATGTTGTATACGCTTCGGTGTCGAAGGAAGAAGGTGGTGATAAAAATGTGTGGAAGTCGCTTGCAGGTTTCCTCCGGCCTATCGCGAACGGCGATGTCCGAGGATTCGTATTTTTAGCCCCTCAGCAGAGGAGAGCATTAACCGTAGATACCGCAAGGTGCGATGGATACGGTGGCTGAAATATTGTCTAAATAGCCCGATTGGCAAGCGTATATGCGCTGTGCCACTGCAAGTGTGTTGGGTGGGTGTATGTCCTCCCCGAACGGGACGCTACTTAACAGCTCGTGGTTAGCGCTGACATGGTGTCGTGGATTTACTGCCCTCTCCCTGTCGTGCGGGACGATGGATCGGTCTTTCCCAAACTCTTGTTAGCAAAGCGGATTCCCGAGCTTGTTCTGGGTCAAGAAATGTCAACGCCGCCTTATTCTCTACACCATAGCCCCGTCTGACGATCCCACACACTGATGTATCTACGCTTTTGCTCGCGTTCTGTTCTGTTGGATTTCCTCGCAGCCCGACTGGATCTGCCTTCTGCTCCAGAGGGACCGCGACGCCCGCCGCGCGTGGCAGCTGCTAAAGGGGGTTCAAACCTCCGGCTGGGGGGGCTCCTCGTCCAAGCCCAAGCCGGCCAAGGGGCAGCTTCAGAACCCCGAAAAGGTGAGACGGGTGGTGTTGACTGCCTTGCAGACACGCCCCCTCGCCTCCCCGGGTCTTTTTTTTCTTTTGCCTGCGCAAGGAAATTACTTCGTACGTAGATATATGCGTATGCAATGCGTAAGGGTCGTGATTTCGATGTCTCTACAGGCACCATTTTGGCAGCAATACATACCCCTGTGATAGCAGTACTGGTTCATGCTTGTATTGAACCGATGTCAAGAAACGTACACATGTTACCCGCGAAGATGCATCCCATTCCCCCCGTCCCCCTCAATTTCATCGTAGATGCACTTCTTTGAACCTGAAGCGTTTCCCATCCCCACTCCCTCGCTGTTGTTGCGGCGATTTTTCCTCTCAGGAAGCATACGTCGACTCGGCGGCCGTTGCGGAGAGCAAGCTGGAACTCCAGCAGGAGCGTGCCGCACAGGGGCTGAGCAACGAGCCCACACCGTCCTTCGAAGTCGAAGAGGTCGACGACTGGGAGGTGAAGGGGTTGTGCGGAGCGGGCGGGGTGATAAAAGGGTACTTGTATGTGTTTCCTTGTGCTCGTTGACTTGACTCGTACCCGGTCGAAATAGCATTGAGCACAAGCTACATGGGAGGTTGGAACCAATTCAGTCGGAGAGGCGTGTCTGGGATATGTCTGGGTGCTAATCGTGCCGTCGACATTCTCGAGTTCTTTGTCGACTCGCATTACACTCCCTGCTGATTTGCTCCCCCCAGGGTGTGGAGCATGAGCAAGTCTATGTTGGAAGCTGAATCCATGACGGATGTGATGTCGAAAACCAGTCGATTGCAGTCACTCGTCCTTCCCAGCATGTAGCTTCAAACCGTGCGTGGCGTGGCGATTCCTACAACTCGGCTGAGTTTGGTTCGATTTGACGAATGCTTCTCTGCCTCTATTTTTGTGTCCGTTTTGCATGACGCCTCATCCGCAGACCCTGGACGATCTTCCCGGGGACAAGCCGACGGAGGCGGCCTGAAGTGGTTCGCCCTCTCCGTCGATTTTGGCACGGGATTCGGGCTGTAAAAGGCGTCTGGAGTAATTAGGCGCAGAGTTAGCACGACGCTTGCTATTTGTGTTTCTCCGACTGCTTTGTTTTTCGCTTCTGGGTGACGGGAGTGATAGGTGCTGTCTGGAGCGGAAGAGGTAGCAAGTAGGGAGAAGGGGGCGTACGGAGTGGAACGAGGTGTATGCAACCCTAGAGAAGGATTGTTGCTGTCTGGTGGTTTCGAGTGTTTTGCGAGATTTTTGGGCTTTGGGGGACCAGATTTTCCGGTCTGAACACATGCTCTCTATCAAGCTGGGTAGGACCTGCGAGAATTTGTGTCGGCGTGACGTGAACAAGTTGGCGTGGCGTGTCCTCGCTACATAGGCGAGCCCTCTCGGCGGCTGGCTGGCTGCAGGCACGTACCACGATAGGCTCACCAAGCCTGTGCAGTTGTTGACAGACTGCCTGGTTGTGCCAATCTTCTTTCGTCAGTGGCGAGAAGCACCGTCGGCCATTGAGCTCGCGGGTTTTCTCTGAGGGTCGGGGGGGGGGGGGGGGGGGGGGNGGGGGGGGGGGGGGGGGGGGGGGGGGGGGGGGGGGGGGGGGGGGGGGGGGGGGGGGGGGGGGGATGCTGGGAAGATTTGTCGGCACTCGGCTGGCTGCACGGCGTTTCCTGTAATGTGTTTTCCGCCTGATGCGTCGATTGCAACACCCTCTCGATTAGAAGGCCATGCGTGGAAGCGTGCTGGTGGTAACCGTGCAGCGCTTCATTGCAAGTACACCTGGAAGTCATGGCGCCGGCGTTCTCAGCATCTAGGGCCGTCGTTGGCCATGCTACTATGGCACGCGTGTTCTTGGTTGGTGTGGTCAAGGCGGGCATGGTGGAGGAGATCCATCATCATCTGCGGCAGGGGTGATAGTGGTTGTTGGAGACAAAATGCTACAAGGAAACACGACTGTTTTGTGTGGTCTTCATCCTTTTCGCGTGTTCACGTTCGCGAAGCGCACCTCTCGGTGTCTTGTGCGAAGAACGGCGCTGTCAGCTAACGACGCGAAATGCACCACACGTCCGAACGCCGGTGTAGGGATCATCACTACTCAAGGGTCTTCCTTGACACTACCACCAATACCAGACCCAATACCATCCACTTGTACTACAGAGTACAGCGGACAGCCCACGGACGTGCTGCCTTGCCGAAAATAGTCATCGTAACTTTGGCCTCAAAGCTGATGCGCTTTTCCGTTGTCAGCAGTCAAGTCAGCCCGTCAATCATCGATGCTGCCTGACTGCTCCTACACATTCCAGGCAGGAGGCGTAAAAGCCTCAAGACGAGAAGCCCGCGGTATCACCTGTGTATAGTCTACTTCTATTACGATGGATGGGAAACATATGAAACAATAAATATGTTCTTGAAATTGGAGTACAGGTTCACGAGCGAAAGTTCAGACGAACATCGCGCATGGAATTGTGCATCAGGAACATGCCCTAACTTTGCCAGTAGCCTCAAACGGCGTGCGTGATCGGCCGAGCTATAACAACGCGAATTAACGAATGGAACCGTGCCACGAGGAGAACCCCATTTTTCCGAAAAAAGTTCTGAACCGAAGCTTGGGTTTTCGGATCACAAACTTGTACAGCATCCCCTTTATTTACTCACGTACTGCAGCTTCAACATGGAGAGGGAGCAGGCGGTTAGGGAGCAAGTGGCGAACCGTGGTCTGATGGGAGACAGCTGGGGTCCCACAGACGCATCGGAGCAGCAGCTGGACGACTCCTTCCATCCTGACACCTTTGTCAACGTTGGGTGAGGACTACCGATTGATTTTACATCTTGTTTTGTAACTCTACAGGGAGACACAGACACGTGGACGATTGCTGTGGGTAGTGCCACTCTGCCTCTATCTGTGCTTTTTGAGCTTCGCCCGATACACCTTGTTTCGGTGGCGATAGGTATTGTCTTGGTGTGCCATTCACCAATTCTACAGCCTGCCATGCACATGCTCCTCAGATGCAACATCAGCGTCTTCCCTCGGTATTTGTGTTTAGTCCGTGTGATACACTGCGATTCGGCCGGTTCATCACCTTGCTCTCTGCCTCGTGTTGGGCGACCGTTCTTGAGAACGGTCCGCAGGAACACGTGCAGTAAGACTGATAACACGGGATTGTTGTGGCTGGGACCTCGTGATTGTTGTAATTCTTACAGAATACTCGGACGGCTTGACTCCCTTGATTGAATATTCACCAGCAAGATAACCCGCTGTTTCCTGTCTCTCCCCTCTCCCCGAACCCTCACTGCTGTCGGAGGTTCTGTCGTGTACAAAAGATGTAATCATCGCAGACGTTCTTCAGAGGGGGTATGCTGAAGTATGTACAGCGATGGCAGAGTGGCACCTGTTGGTTGCTGGACTCAGTAGAGTCTGTTACAAGTCCGTCCCATTGAAAGAGGTAGCGATGCCGGCGCGAACAAAATTTTCTCAAGTTCAATGAAGGGACGTCTGACGTAGTCTACATATGATATCCCGCGTAGACTCTGGCCGTACGTAGACCATTCACCCTTGCGATCCGTGTCCTCCCTGCCCTCCTGACCCTCCTCCGTCGCACCAGGAACTTTCTCAGCTCTCAAGAGTCCAGCGAACGCGCGCGGTCGACCTCCGAGACCTCCAGCCAGACCCCTCCCCCCGCCACCATCGCCAGCGTGTCCACGGTTACCGATGTGGTGGACCCGTCGGCACCGCTGACGTCTCTTCTTTCCGGCGGCAGCCGTGCCAGCCGCATCTTCCTCGGGCTGCTGGCGGTTGTGGTGATGCTGCTCGGGACTAGCGCCTACTCTTTCAATCAGAGTCGCGCTTGGAAGGTGCAGAGTAGTCCTTGGGAGGTGCACACGAAGCTGTCTATACGGAGTGGCGAAAATAACAATTTGTGAGATTGGTACAAATTGCGGTTGGTGGTGGTTGGTGATCCTGCTGGGAACTAACGCCTACTCTTACCATCAGAACCGCGGTTGGCAGGTGCACATGAAGCCATCTGAGAGAAGACAAGAAAAAGTTGGTGCTGCTGCTGCCATCCATTGGGTTACGTTGGATGGCGGTAGGTGTGTGCTATGAACAGTGGTTGATGTGGTACGGAATGCCCATGTTTAACGGCGATCCGCAGGCCGAAACCTCAGCGTTGCGAGAGAAGGTCGACAAGCTTGAGGCCGCCGCCCGCTCCTCGGCAAGCAAACCGATGTGGTCTACAAGCAGCTCCTCGCCCACCTGCCCTGGGAGCCAACTCATTGACACGTGCTGGTTCAAGGTGGGGTTACCACGATTCAGTCGCTGGGAGACTCTGCTGCTGTAGTGGTTATGAAAGAAAAAATAGAGCTCCCATCTTGGTAGTCGTAGAGAAACAGGTATGTAGGTGGCTGTGCGTGTTTTCGTTCTACTCCGTGCGAGTATATAAGAAGGCATTGGTGATTTAGAGAACGAAAACAAACGAGTACGTCACCTGGAATAGAAGCCAACAACAACAACAACAGCAGCACTGCCAGTGGTTTTGCGTGTTGACTTATGATTCCAATCTCCTTTTTCAAGGGCTTTGTCGGGATGATTCCAAGCGCTGATACGATTGATCAAAAGCGTGCTGCATCCACCCCACCGCAGCTGCCCACACGACTGTCACTAGATTTTTTTTCGTTTTGCGTCAAGGGACCAAGTCTCGGTGGGACTGAGGATCCTTCAGACGACGAAGTCGCGTTAGCTCGCATCATCACGACGGAAGCCCCTTAACGTGCGTGCATATCCCGTCATCACAAGCCTCATCATGTGTGGTGCCAACCTTTTGTCACGGGCAAGATCATGTACGATGTGTGTTGTGTCCCTGTTGGTGCCACGTGTCATGGCGCTTGGCGCTTTTGTTTCACAAGGTGGGATGGGGCGACTGCGCCAACGAGGCGCTGGAGGACCCCATAAAGCCCATCGAGGACGCCTTTCGCTTTGCTTTGGACTCCGCTTCTGGGGTCATCAGCGCCGTAACAGAAACCTTCGCGAGTGATATGAGCCAGGTAATTGTCGGCCAGGTATTGTCGTCCCTCGGTTAAGGACGCGCATGATTTTTCGGTAAAATAGGTGTCCTTTTTCCGGGGAATCAAGATTGATGCCCCCCCTTTACGTTGTACATCTTGCGGACACCATGCCTGTGGAAAACGATGTGTCCTCGATCCGGGGGAGTTTCCTTACAATGGTGTCCTTCGGGGACGGCCGTACTTGTACTTTCACTTATACACGGTCCGCTCTCACGAGGAGCACATACCGTGGGAGGGGATTGCGGTTGGCGTTCTCTTGTTGGTGCTTGCCTTGGTGGTTAACCGCTCGACGATTCGACCACGCATCCCGGTCGGCCGGGGATCGGGTACGCTCAAAAACATCCGTGCAGCATGACCACGTTACGTAGGTATCCATGTATCCCTCTCGGGGAAAATGCAAGCCGCGTTGCTTTTGTACCTCCCCAGTTTGGGAGGGGGCGAGGGGGTGTCCATTTTTTTGCTGGCATATGGCTAATGGCCATTGGCCACGCATCCTGAGACGGGGCGCAATTCCGATTGCTACCACTGCTGTAGAGATGCAATCACCGTATTCATGTCTTGTTTGTGTCCTGCTCGAGCATTTGTTGCCTGTATTGTGCCCTCCTTTGGCGTGCTGTCGCCAGCGTGGTTCTCCTCACCAAGCTGTAGCTTTGTACAATTGTCGAATTTGCCTATTTTATTGATGATCACCTAGATGGCTTGTCAAACGTGTACCGCAAGATGTAGTGCGGCGCCCAGAAAAGCCGGGACTAAAACGTGCCAATAGAACACCATCCGCACTTGGTTCAATGTGGTTCGTTTCTTGGGTGCTGTCAATCTCCATCTCCAGGTTCCCCACCCAAGAAGATAGAAGACAGTTTCAGTCGCCGGTGATCCTGTCTTTATTTTTAATGTGTCGCCCCGGGAGCCGTGACTCTGCTCTCCCCTCGCACTAAAAGGGTTTACAGTAGCGTTGTCCTGAACCAATCGAAGGCTATATCGGTGATTGACACCTATGGCTTTGGATTTGGTGTCGCGTTTGGCCTTGCAGTAAACGGGCCCACTGAAATACAGTACCCCAGTACTGTACCGCCCGTGGTCCACTCGAAGGAGTCGAACCTCTCCTGCGTACGGCCAACAACGCCGAACAACGCCCTCATCGATTGGGCTCGGCGTGGTGCCGCCCACAACACGTGCTCGTGCGTCTCTCACCTCTCTCGGAGGAATGTCAGCCTTTTGCCCTTGCGTCTTTGCACTGTTGTGATGGCCGGAGATCGGTGACACCCCCACTCCGCTGTTAATTGTTTGTGTCCTTCTGCTGCCCCCTCCCCTGCCGGCAGGTTTGTGATGCGGTGCGCGCCGTCGGCTCGTACCTCTTCGAACAATAACGGCTGGCCTTTTCGTTCCTGAATCACTATCTTCGGCCTTTCGCTCGGCACAACAATCTGCGCACGGACCACGCAAACGAGGGCATCACTCTTGGTTAAATGAGCGCGACGTTGACGCTCAACAGGAGAAACCTGATTGTGTTCTGTCTCGTTTGTTCTTTTTGCCGTGAGGGCGGATCTGGCGAGCCTCACTTCCAACAGGACGCATCTGTCATAGCGTAGAGTTAATTTTTTTTTTTTTGGTTTTTCATGCAAATTGAAGCACGGCGTGCCTTTGGCCGGCAGAGCTCCTCTACAGGAGTTTAGCACGCGTCGGGCAGTACACACAACTACTGTGGTTTTCAAGGCTTCAGTTTAGCACTGTTGGGGGCTTCGAATCGGTTTTCATCTCATGATATTAAGAAGCTCGCAGCATAAACAAATGCCACTTTTAGCTACATTTGCATGCGCAGCTCCTGCTCGCAAAACATGTTCAAATCGTTTTATATTTGGGGGAGGGGGGGGGGGCGTGGACGCGCGTGGCAAGCCTCGGTAAACACACCTGCGTGCAGGTTTGGCCTTGCCCGGCCCCGTTTTACCGATCGGTGATGTGTCGGTAATCCGTGTTAAAAGGTGTCGTATAGTCAGCAGCCTTCTCGGAGGGATGAGCTGCTTCCCCCTGAAATTTTGTATGGCGTTGTGTCCCGTTGCGTGTGTTGAGCCTATTCATTGGGTATGTTGCTCATCAAGGAGAAAGGATCTTAGAACAGGTCCTTGCGAGGACTTGTCGGTAGCGCTCGGCAAGAGTACATGGAGTAGCTATGCGTGTGTACGACACGCCGAAATGTTAGTGTGGGCCTGGCAACGCAAACATGGCAAGTGTGGAAGTTGCTACGTGGCAATAATATTATTAAGGTTCTTGCGTGAACAGCCGCACAACAAGGGGGAGAGCTTGAGTACGCACGCCAGATATTTTGTACCCGGGGCTTTTGTTGGGGGGACTGCTGCTGTGGGGGGAGGAGGGGCAAGGACAACACCATTTTCGGAAGGGGAGCAAAAGAGTAGAAGGTGGAGTAGCTGTAGACCAACGTTCCAACGTTTACGGCATGTACATATGAGGAGCCATGTAAACGTTGTCACAAGCGGGCAATATGGTTCGTTGCCGTGGTACAGTACGGGGCCCTCAACCAGCGGCGGCATTTCCAACGAAGCAATGGAGTCTTACGGTCTCGCATCTTCACAACACATTCTACCATGCGCCACCGCTATCCTCTCCCTGACCACAGCAAAGGAACTACATTCCTCTCAACCCGTTGGGTAAACCTTGGAAAGGATTTCTTCCAGTTCTCGGTTGGTGGAGGGAGACAGAGACAGCGTTATTCCGGAGAACCAGCATCGAGGAACACATATCGACGACTGCCCATGGAAAGGTCGCCTAAGACGAACGGTCTTTTCGCTGAGTGCTTTCGCTTGAGCTAAGGAGTACCGACCACGACAAGAACGCTGCGCACGCACACTTCGACACAAAAAAAAACGTGTAATCAGCGTCAGAGTGAGGAAAGCAATGGGTTCTGCGTTGTCCGTATCGTCGGAATTTTCCTTCCCCCTAACATTCTTCCTTTTCCTTTGAAGCTATTCTATAGCAACACTGTCTTGTTGTCTCCGCGAGCGTTGGCAGTGACCCTGGGTGGTGTTTACATCGTTTATGCTTTATTATTTTTCACTTGAACACAACAACGAACAGCTGCGTGGTAAATAGCAAGCAAAGCAGAAGTGCGCTTTGAGGGAATACCGACTCGAGTGAAAAAGAAACACATTACTGTACATGCTATCGCAAGCGGAGTTACCATTGTCGAATATTTTAACCGACCGTTCTGCTAACCAATCCCGTCTCGAGCATCCGTTGGCTCCTCGAATCTAATCGCTTGCTCTCCAACCCCATCCGTAGCATCAAAACCCAACTCAACAATCGGTCTCTCTCAACAACGGGCATTATTGCACTCAGCTTCTCGCTCTATGCTCCCACATCCACCTGTACCTCATCCGCTCAACCGGGTCGTGAAAGCTACGACAACGGAAAAAGCCATCCCTTCTGCCCAGCGGACTAACTTGAGCAACCGCAGCGCACGGGCGGTGGCAGCCACCAAACCTACAAAAACAAAAGTCTGTCTGCGTTATATTCTCGCATGCGAGCAGCCACCTCCTCATGGTTGTCTGAGAGGCGGCGGCGGCGGTGGCGGCCGCGGTCGTTCCGGCGGCGGCTCCGCTCCCGCCGTTGCGAAGGGCTTCCCGTCCGCGGCGCTGAGCTCGTGCAGCTCGCGCTCGATCTGGTCTGGATTGTTCAGCTGCGACCCGGGGCAGTAGACCCTCGCCGCCGCGTCGTAGGCCCGCGCGGCGTCGAACTCGCTGTCGAATACCCCCAGGTACTTCTGCTTCCGGTCCACGTAGATTACGGCCCGCCACGTTCCCGCCGGGGTGATGCACACGCCCTTGAAGCTCGACTGGCCGGGGGGACCCCGCCGGACCCACCAGTCCTTCTTGCGCTTCTTGGCCTTGGGGGCCTTAGGGGCCTTGCGGACCTTGTGGGCCTTGGCCTTAGTCCTTGTCGCCATCGACTCTGCTGCCTTCGATCTCACCGCCTTCGATTTCGCCGCCCTGGGTTTTGCCGCCGCTTGCGGGGTGTTGGCCCCCGGCGATGCGGCTCCCGTCTTCGAGGCTGCTGGCGCTGCGGCGTGCGCGAGATCGGGAGAAGGAGTAGCCGTCGTTGCGGTCACCGCCGCTGATGCCGCTGCCGGCACCGTCGGCATAGCGGCTCCGGCGTAGATATCGCGCGCAGTGGGTCCGGCCGGCGACGGAGGCTGGAGCGGCGGCGGCGGCGGCGGCAGCGGCGGCGGCAGCGGCGATGCGGCGGCGACGACGGGCGGCGGCGAGGTCGATTCCGGCATACGCACGAAGTCGATCATCCTAATTGGTGGAGGGCCAGTAGCGGCGACGGCGGAGGGAGGGGCGACAGCGGCGGCGGCAGGTGGCTCCTGGTTCGCTTTGACCATTACAGCGTTGACCGTTGGCGCGGCAACGTTCTTCGTCATCGAGAACCCAGGCAACGATACGGAGCCGGCCCCTACGGCTACAGGCGCGCTTCCCGACCCGGGCGCGTCGTCTACGGGGACGTGCGGCAGCGTCCTCAGAGCCCGACATGCCGCCACAATATCCCGGTTCCCGAAGTACGCGTCGGTTCTCCCCCCGGCGCAAGGCCCGTCAGGAGGCGACGCCCCCCGCGGGCCTCGCTCGAAAACGCCACAACCCCGAACCATTGCAGACGGAGATGAAGATGGCGCCACGGAAGCGGCAACCGTGGATCGGTGCCGGGCGGTGTCGCTGGCGCTGGTGGTAGCGGCGGCGGCGGCGGCGGTGGATGCCGCGGTGGGGGTGGTATTTGGTGCCGCTGGCTCGGATCTCTTCAGCTCGAGGTTGACAGCGCCCATTAGCACATCCCAGCCGGAGGCTTCCGGATCCTGCGGAGACGCGTGTGGCGCGCCAACCCCGGCGCGGTGCCCTGACGACGATGCACGACCGGTAGCGCCTGGTGCTGATTGTGCGGCTTTCGCCGCCACGTCGTGCTCTGATGAAGCAACGCGACTAGTAGCGCCTGGTGCTGCTGGTAGTGGTGGTGGCGGGAAAGCCGGAGGAGACGAGGGTCTAGACTCTACGTTACGGCTGACCTCCGGGCGTGGGCCGTCCCGTGGGTTTCCCGTCATAGCGGGGGGAGCTGCGCCCGACATTATGCGAGCCCTCGTGCACCGCCGGATACACCCGCACCCGATCAATCAAGTGGGCCGATATTGTCCGCCAACACGCGTTCGAAGAGCATGAAATACGACAGTCTGGAGCACGGCAAAATAGAAAGGGGGCGGGGTATAGACGGAGGGAGGCGGGTTGGCGTAGTAGTTAATTCAAGGACAACCTCTCGTGCTGTGTGCCCCTTATGTACGTCGGGAATATCGACATATCGACAAAAACGAACGCTTTTCCGGAAGGTCTTGAGGGAATAGCGAAGCGTGTACGGCAATGGGCATACTGGATGAAGACACACGGTTGGCAGAAGGGTGGCTGACAGAAATATTTGTACCAGTTGTTGCGCATAGCTGTACGTTGTGACAATATTCTGAGAGAAAAAGCTTGTCACTGTAATGAAACAACCCGGTTGTTGAACGATGGAACTAATGTACGTGGTAGGGGTGGGATGTGGTTCCCAAGTTATCCACCAGTAATGCCAGGTAGGTAAACACCCGGGTACTCCCTTGGTGGTTGCGTACACTCCCTTCAAGCTACGCAAATGTTCGAGTCTGTCTCCAAAGCCATACTTCCACAGCTGTGCCACCTCATCTGCCGCTGGTATGATTGCAGGGTGCAGATTTGTAATTTTTCAAATTGGTTGAGGTTCGCTGGGCTCTCCGAGTCAAAAACGTCTCAGCTGTGTGAGCTATTTAGCTTGGCAAACGTTGCAACTAGCAGGTGGCAGCCAGCTGTGGGCCGGGCCTGCTGCCTGCTTTTTTTCTTCATCTTGCATCACTCCCGGCGATAGCACCGCCGTGCTTGCATGAGCACAGTCCAGCGGATCCCTTGTACGTGTATCGTGTATCGATGTTGGTCCGGATTCCCGCCACCTGACGCCCCCCATTAAGACTCGACGGGTACGTGGTATCATCACCCTCATCTTGCGTAAACCAAACGAGCACAAAGGCCACTGCTGTAGTCGAGAGTCGTATCTTTCTCCATTGATCAAAAAGTCTCTTGAATTATGTAGGGGTGCTGGGCGGGAGCTGGGACGCTGTAGGCTCCACGTCCTGTTTGCTCAAACAAGGTCCCCACCCAACGCGCAGAGTTCACACTTCAAGCCACCATCGCAGACATACCTTTCCGGGCAACCAAGTATCCTTCCACAGACCTCTTCGCTCCAATCTCCCTCGGCCTTGCGCTACTCGCAGGTGGACAAGGGTCTGGACGGGGTGGGTCAATACCAGAGTCCCCGGACCAAAACGCCTCACGGCGGTTGAAACCGTTATTTTTTGGATTATTATTTTTGTTGCCCTCTACAGCTTCGACAGGCATCCGACTTCACAGCACTTTTGCATCGCGCAACCATGCGTCTTCACGTCATTCTCGCTGCCCTGATAGGACCAAACTGCGTGGAGAGCTTTGCGGTGCGGTGCACTGTGCCGAGTAGCAGTACATCTCCCGTTTCGACTTCTCTGCGATGTCGAAGCACTCGGACGATGATGACGTTGCCCACAAATGGGGACTTGAATAGGGCGTTGGGCGCAGTGCTGATCGCCGGGGCTTTGATGACGGGAGCAGTGGACGCCGCTAGGGCAGACGTGTCCATCAGCCCGAGATGTGAGTCGAGGGTTTTCTTTGCAACGGGGAGTGCGTCACTCGGCCTCTGTATCTCTGCTAAGAATGCAGAGAATTGACCCGCCCTTGACATGTTTTGACGTTTTTCAAACCGCCGCACTCCTGTCGACCCATTGTAAGCTTCCACAACACCAGACGAAGGCGCTGATCTGCACATCGGCCATCTGGCAATCGCAGGCACACCAATGGCTTCATGATGTGTCAGGTCGTAAAGGGCGTGTCGGTCGACTTTCTCTCAACACGTTTCGACCTCGCCCACTACAGACCGTGGTTGACGGAGAGGGAGGCCGCTGCGCAACACGCCGCTTGTTTTCGCCGCGCCCTCACTACTGCTGTAGGTCCGCCCTCTACCTTCAGCTATGGGGTCTCTCACCCTTCTTGTAACACACCGGTTGGCATGCAACGAAGATATTTATATAGCTGCAGCCATTGCTTTGTCTATTTTATAGTCTACAGTATACACGCGATCTGCTCCATGTCCCATCCACCGTGAGCAACACGAGACTGCTCACCAAATCTCCCTCGTGTGCGACGTTCGGATACGTTAGGCTGCTCCTCTGCAAGGCCCACCTGTTTTATTTTTCTGGGGTGTGTGCGGTTTCACTTGAAGCATTCTCTTCTCAATCCTACTAATACTGCTGGTGCAGGCATCACGGGCGAGGGTGCGCAATGCGAGGACTTGGCGGAGGGGAACGAGCTCATCAAGTCTCTCCAGGCCAAGTCGGCGCTTTCCAAGGACCGTTACTTCCAGGAGACCCTCGACACCTACAACGTCCACAATTTTAAAGGCAAAAGGGTCACACTCGCAATGTACAGCTACCGCTAGTCGATGCGCTCAAGGGTACATGTCGGGGTCTTCTTTGTCTCAAACAACCGGTCATTGATCGCCGTAGCAGGAACGTCGCTTGGTATCTTACCTCCGCTGCATGTTGTCCTACTGCTGTTACCTTTGCAGCATCTTCGTTCCGCACGCTCTTTCGTACTGATTGTGCTCCTGAATGCTGCATTGGAAGTATCATCCGGGCTCCTCTGTGGTACCGGAACCGTGCACGGCGGTCGAGCACTCTTTCGCGTCTCATGCATTTTAGCCCGTCCATGCAACGCTGTGGGGCTGGGGATGATTTACTTTTTGGCGACCTGTGAACGAACCCTCCCGCGCTACATTGTACAGTGTTGATGTACCGCCCTTCATACCATCGCCCCCGTGACGGCTACGTGTACCGTACGTCCGCAGATTACTTCAAAGCGGAGAGCAAGCACATGGTGAAGCACAACGTAAGTCATGTTCATGCATGCATGTTGGTGCCTCCTGCAGTCTTACCGATGGAGCACTCGCTTCCTTCTCTCTGTCCTACATGTACATGCTGTGATGCGGTAGACGGGTATAGCATGTTGGCGGGCCGTTTCGTACTGCTGTTGTCTCACATCGATCTATCCAATGGGCGTTTGCTGCTGTTTTATACGAAAACACCAGGTTTGTTTGTCGCTGCTAGGCTAAATCCGTTGGACTCCCTACCTTGTTTTTCGCTGTTCGTCGTATCCCTCCGTGCTATATCCTAACCTAGCCGCGATTGATAGCAAGTCGGATTTGCGTCAATTGTTCTTTCTCCCGCCCTCGTGAAGTAGCAATGTCATGAACTTTCCTGCTCCATCGTTGCGCTCACTCTATCTTCCTCCGGCCTCACTCATGCCTACCAACTTCGGCCTCGCTCTCTCTCTCTCGCATCAACTATCGTGTTCCCGATGTGGTGACGTTGGCATTTTTTCCGCCGCCACCGCCCCCCTCGCGAACAACTCTCTCTCGCCGCATGTGCGTGGACGCACGTCTGACTGATAGACCGGGAAATACGAGATCCTGACGAACGCAGAGTACGCCGCCGCTGAGAAGGCGGGCAAGGTCAAGAACGATGTCTTCCTCGGGGAGGACTGATGGCGCCGCCGCCGCCCGCTCACGCTTCCATACCTGGAATTGAGATCTGTTGTTGCTCTGCTGCGTTTGTTCCGCCCGACCGCTTCGCAAACTTCAACTCTTGGTAGCAACTTGTACACGACGTAACTCTGTGTCGAGTCGAGCCTCGTTTGGGCGATCGTACTCTAATGACAACTCCTAGTTTTAGCCAAACGGGTGGAGTGGTGTTCCTAAGGCCTTGTGCGGGTTCCATTCCCCGCCACTCAGAGCGAGCGGGATGCTGGCCGTACGTATGCATGCATCGCTACTCCCAGGGGGATCGTAGGACTAGGGTTCCTGTCGAAGTTCTTGTTCGTACGAGGTAGGGGGTTCGCAAGGCACCAGTCGCCGCGCGGCGTACCGCGGATTCTAAAAAGTGACGGGTAGGAATGACACACTTGCGGCGAAAGCTCTTTGGCTACGTGCAGGCGTGATTTGCCGCTTCATGAAGGAGTACTACGCACACAATGAATCTACGTGCACTCGAATAATAAGCCTCTGTCGCTTCCAGGTTTTCCGTGCTCAAGTGTTTCTTCCCTTGTCTCTTGGGTCGGGTCAAGATTCCACATGCAAACGCAGCAGCACATGCGTCAACCTCGCTTCAGGGTACACCTGCCCCCCCCCCCCCCCCCCCCCCCCCCCCCCCCCCCCCCCCCCC